TCCTCGTTAGTGCAACACAGGCTGCTGTAATCATCGAGGCTACGATCGCTTTTGTAGCTCCCAAACATTTAAAGCGCGCACGTGTTAATCGATCGGATCGGTCTCCCCAACATTTTCCTGGGCTGTTGAACGTCCCCGATTCTCGCCCCTCGTAGATCAGACGGCGCATACGCGCGCGTATTCGTGCTCCCGTACCCGCCGTATTGAATACAAACGGAAAGGCTATTAAATTTGTTTTTGTCCGAGCGTCATAATCGCGTCTCGAGGACAACGCGTGTGCAGAAGACCTTCTCTACCAATCTATAATGAAAGAGAGGGAGGGCGGGAGGGAGAGAGAGAGAGAGAGAGATCTCTTAAGTTTACGAGCGAACGATGAAAAAAAATTGCTTTGCGAACGATCGACAGATGTGATCTGGATGTATTGCTTCGTCCGCATCGATCTCGTTCATTTTCTTCAACTCTACGCGTCTCATTGCGCATGGATTATTTACTGTCCACGCTCGAACGCGGACGTAAAATAAATTGCCGGGGCTGTGTTACCTGTAAAACGTGCCGATAGCGGACCTGTCCGGGGCACTTGATTTGCGGCGCTCGTAAAATTTGATGAAATAGATGCGATTAGATCTGTCGGCGAGATCGACAACACGAACCCATTAGGTGCGCGAACACCCGAAAGATTCGATTAGGTGTACTTGAGATACCGATTCCTTGTTAGGCACTCCACTAACGGTCATCAAATGCAGATAAAATTCTGTCCTGACCTACGAGATAAGCACTCATCTGTTCGGGATCTCGAAAGAATGAGGTGAATTTCATTCATTTAAGTATATTCGAACGAATTTATTTAGATGATTTATTGTTGCATCAAGAATTCAAAAAATGCACGAAGTTTAAACTTATCGAGTCAATCGATTATTTCGAGAAAATTATTGTTCTCGTACTTAATTCTCTTGCACTCCGTATATTTATTTAAAATATCACTTGACACTATCGAAATATAATTAGGACTTTCAACTATAAATGCCTTTGATTGATTTTGAAGCTCCGAATCACAGAAAAAAATTTGTTTTGATTTAATTAATCAAGAGAGCGTATTAAATGGATTGCTCATGTGCAGCAGATATGTTAAGTTAAAATTAAAAACTGCACTACAGAGAAAGTATAATGACTAAGAAAATTGCTTTCGGGCAGCTAACAGCGTTAGTGCACCAGTTTCATCAAGTTTAAGCGAAATGGAAACGCGTGTTCGTAAGTGAGATCTTGATTTAAAATCCGGCTTGCTTTCCAATCCTATTCAACATTGTTATGTAGATGAAAACAAGAAACCTGTGAACTCTAATGTAACATATGTATACATAAATACATAAATAAAATTATATAATATCTATCGGATATTTTCAGTGGTGCCAACATATTTATTACAGATTAAATAATAATTAAATAATAATTAAAAAAAAATTGCTATTATAAAATCTAATGTAATAATACATACGAAGGCATTTCAAATTCCGAATTTCATTTCGTCACTTATCAGTTTTTATGACGTATTTAGTTTTAGTAGCGAAAAGCAAAAATTTTCAAGGGAATCTTTTTATCGCTTATGAATAATTTTTTATTTTTAACAACATTTAACAATTAGAGACTTGGGGATTTTTTTAGAAATAAGATTCAGCTCGCACAACTAACGCTGAAAAACAATGCCAAGATTTTTTCTATTTATTTACAGACATGTATCTTCGCGCGAGAGTTATTCATCACATCCATTTTTTTTTTCGAACAGCGTCGCGCGATTAAAACAACATGTCATTTTTCTCAGCTCGTTTTCGAATGCCTGCGGTCGAGAGGACGTTATTTCGATGGTTTTTTGGATGTTTTGCACAAACAACGGTGCGCGCGCGTAACGCGCTGTGATCGACGTCTCGTAAACCACATAAAAGTTTACGCAACGGAAAATCGGGGGTAACGTCAGATAAGGACCCGTGACGCGTTTCTGCTTTTGCGCAAAGCCGGTATTACGGGCGGCCGTGCCTGCGAGCACGCGCAAAACTCACCGTACGCACGTGGTAATCCGATATCGGCGAGGACACGCTACACGCCGCACGCGTGCTCCTTCACGTGCTCGCCTCGACTGGCAACATTCGTGATCGCCACCGTGCAGACTGTTACACTTGGGGATTTCTGGTACGGCCAGTAATTCCTGTCGCAACTCGACAAGTATAGCCTGCAGCAATAAGAAGACTCGCGTTTGGCCTTCGTATTCGCGAAGCTGCGTTTAAGTTTTCGATGCATTTTCGTTTTCTTTTCTGAAGATAGGTTTGATAACATGTCTGGAGAAAGGCCCCATAAAAACTTGTATCCGCTCGACATGCAACCTGCATGACTTATGTTATTGATCCAAACCCTTCAATTGGATGGAGGGTTCGCTAGGCAGGTTTTTCTAAGCGGAATGTCCTAGAGAGAGGTTTCACAAAGTGAAACAGACAGCGAATATTTTTTAATTTTTTTTCCCTTCAATTTTACTTTTTAAAATTACAAACTGTTGATGCAAAATGAATTTTTGTAAAAATTATTTGTACGTTGTCTCGTGAAAAAAAATATATTAAAAAAGCAATTTGACATATTTAGTTATTACGAAAACGATAGAATATTTGTCTTATTTTTCAGGAATTGTTTCACTCTTCTAGAACTCATTTGTTAACATTAACAAAAAACGGATGCCCGCGGTTGATAGAAACAGGATTAGATTTCTGTAAAATTCTACGATTCCTCGAATACGCCTCACGTTGAATACAAAGGTCTTATTCGTGTCCTCAGCTTCGTCACGCGGTTGTGAAAAATTCCCTTGCGGGAGTGTCCTGCGGCGTGTATAACGTTCGGGGGCCCATCAGAAATCGTGCATCGGCGGAAGAGCACCGCTTCCCGCCGGGTTTCTCGCACGGCCGTCCGTGCGTTCTGCGGCAACGCGCGCGCGGGGGTAAGGCACGTATTATGAACGCGCGCTACTCGGCCCGGCGTGGCGCGGCGCGGTGTGTGAATAGCGAGCACGTGCATTTCCCACAGAAAAGCAATGGGGGCTACGCGCCGCGGCGTCGCGGCCAGCTGGGAATACGGCCGGGGTTCGGCAAACCGCTCGCCTCGCTCTCTTTCGGGGCACGCACTTCGGAGACGGCCACCTTCGAGGATACACTATATTGACAGTCTTGTTCATTTCAAAAATAAATTATCGTCGATATACCGACGCCGCGATGAATGAGAAGATGTTAGGCTTGTCGCTTCGACAGTCTTGTTCAATTCAAAAATAAATTATCGTCGATATACCGACGCCGCGATGAATGAGAAGATGTTAGGCTTGTCGCTAGACAACCGATGGACACTTGTCGTCGGTCGAGTAGAAGCGAAAAAATAAAAGTAAAAACAAAATAAATATTTTTTTACCGCTCGTTGTACAAGTGAGGAAAGCTTGTTTTGTTATTTTAGGATTGATTGAATCCTTTAAAAAGAATCTTTGTAGTGGCATTTACAAGTGTTTTTCTGAATATAAGTATAAAGAAAGGTCTATACTCCTTATGTGTATATGTCTATATAAAATTACTTATTGAATTTTGAAAAATCAATCATATCTTCTATTTATCTCACTCTCGTATTTCAGAAACGTTGTAAAATAAGTCTTCAGTATCATACTTGAATATTATTATTAAATTGTCCGTTGCGATTTAAATAGAAGGATAATCGCGGAGATATTTCGTTTTGTTTCCTCGAAAATCTTCAATTCTTATTGTACAACTGTCACTGGCTTAAATTTATTTGCGCGGGGCCATGCCAAGTAGAAAATGTGACCTTCTCAAATTATTCAAGTATCGTGAATGATTCCAGCGTATGTTATTACTACGTCGTAGAGATTATGAAATAAAGATCCGTTGCAATGCGCCAAACACAGACTATATCGATTGGCATAAATCTATTCGTTCCTAGTGGGAATCGATTGCACGAGTATGATCTTGACTTGGCGAGTGGTAACCACTTTTCTGTCGCAAATGCAAAAGTTCACACTGCCATTTAAACCGAATTAACTCTTGCCAGTATGATTGACGACGTATTATCGTCCGTTGCGCATTATACCGTTGTTAAGCCCTTGTTTCAAATAATCCCAAGAGACGATATACTATAACTATCGGTCCCGCAAGTTATTGCAATTAATATTGGACAGACTGATCGACAGCTTTTTTTCTTGTTAACACGCGATTAAACGCATCGAGGTACGAAGTTTGTAATGCCATTCTTATTCATTATTCCGAATGTTTTGTCCCCTTCTTTCGCGTATAGTATATTATGTAAGAGACTGATATAGTCTCTTACGTAAGAGACATATGGAAAAGAGATATAAATCTTTGGCTTGTGCCAAAAATTTACTTTACATCTTACAAAGGAAGTGTCTATTTCTCTTGGAATTCTGATGACTTATTCCAATATGACATACGCATATCTGGAGTCATTATATCAAATTGAAAATTTGTATTATCATGGTATTATCATTGGCTATGGTGATTTTATCAATTAAATTTTTCTAAAAAAAAAAACTTGATAAGTGAAAATTCAACGTTTATCTTTGACGTTAAGATGATTAGCTTTAAAATGTACATACGTTTATCTTTGACATTAAGATGATTAGCTTTAATAATATACACACACATAGTCTCTCTCTTTCTCTCTCTCTCTCTCTCTCTCTCCTGTTATAATTATTTATACGTCAAGTTTACATAATTGAAATAACCGCATTTGTTGCTATTAACCGTTCCGAAAAGGACTCAAATAGAGTCGAATCGCGTACGCTTGCGTCACACTTCGCCACCCGTCCGATACGCCAACTCCGCAGTTTCTCTAACGCACAGTTATTTCTATAACGATCACCGCGAGCACACATCACCGCGCGCGCCACGATTCTCCAAAAAGATAATTTTATCTCACGGAGGGTTAAGATGAGTCACGCTCTCTGTTTTCAGTGCGCCAATAAGCCGCGCGTTCGCATCTACCTCGTGAAGGCTGATCGTAAAGTGAGCAGCTCTCTCTTCCTCCCGGGGGGAACGGCGGTGGTGGTGCAACGCTATCAGCAACGGCGGCGATCGGCGTCGGGGTCCAGCCGTTATCATCCGGCTATCATAGCACAGTGCCACCCCAGAACGGAAGGGGTGGTTCGCCACTTCGTGTCGCGGCGATGGTAGCAGCTGCCACCGCTACGGCCACCGCCACTGCCAGCGTGGTGGCCATGCAGGACCGCCAGGACATCCCCTCGCAATTCAATCAGGTAAATGTTTGGCTAGCTCTCACGACGTTATCAATGGCGCGCGACTAGGGGGAATTTCTGATTCATACGTTACACAGACCGCTATCGGAGTTACTATCCGGAGCAGTTAAGTAAGCCGATGCGAATTGGTAAAATGATACGATCCCTGACGTAGACGTTTTTTGTCGCTGTCCTCTTTTTTTTTCGTAGTCATAGTGAGACGTCAAAAGGTAGAATCAAAAGGTATAGTCAGAAGTCAGAAGAGGACCAATTTGCATTTATTGATAATTAAAAAATTTGAAAGATGACGATAAACTTTTTTATTTTAACGTTCATATCATGGTTAATTTATTGCATTTTGTATGACGCGAGAAACATAGTTTACGAATAAGTATTCTATTGTATCGATCGTTAATGTCAATTTATAATCTTTTCGATTGTTTTATTATATGAGCGTATATAATATAATTAAAAAAGAAACAAATTTTTGATTATAGTAGTCGATGTGTTCAATTATTGAGCGAGGGAAGACTACTCGAAAAAGAATCTCTTATAATTCCGTAACAAAAAAAATCTCAGAATTCGCGTACCGCGCGGTGTCTCTCGTAAATTATTTTTACTTCTTTGGAACTTTATGAACTTCTAAATGAGGACTCACACACGTCAATCGTTATTATTAGATGCAGAGCCAACATGGAATACCCCACCAAACGTACAATGCGGGGTCGTACGGCCAAAGAGGACCAATGGCAGGAATGGGGCCAGTCGGGATGAACAACTTTAACGGCATGGGCACGATGAGCCCGATGCACACTATGAATTCCATGAATTCGATGAACAGTATGAATGGCATGAACTCGATGAATCCTATGACAATGGGAGGCATGAACGGTATGAACGGTATGAGCGGTATGAGTGCTATGAACGGAATGACACCCATGAACTCCATGAGCAACATGGGTAACGTAGCCATGAACAACATGATGGGACCCAACAATATGCAAATGAACAAGATGCAGGTATTTATCCAACGCCCAACGTGGCGATTTAAATGTATTTAACTGCGCGTCTCTCGATTCTGTCGTGATAATTCATGAACAAAATTTATCTGTCTCACGTAAAATATTTTATGCCGATCTTTTCTTGCACTACGATTATTTCTAGTCACAGTGTATCTCGGCTATGACGGATGACGCGTCTCTCTGTTGTTCCCGATAGTAGCGTTTTATACCTTTTGTGCTTCTAGGCTCAGCCACATCAAGGCTATCCACGGAGATTAGCGCCTTATCCGAACCCAGCCATGCATATGGCGCAAAAGCGACAGCAGGTTCCGTACGCTACTCAAAATCCAGCGGCTATGCAGCAGGGTTTTAACGGCATGCAGCAGGGTTTGACGGCGGCCACGAATTATCCGAACACCTATCCCACCGCGGCGCGGCCGAACTTTCAGCAGCAGTATCAGTCTATGCAGAACATGAATCCCGCTACGGCGGCCGGTTTCGGGCCCAACGCGATGATACGAGGGACGAATATGAGGCAAACGGCGCCGGCTTACAATACCCCGTCGCAGACGGCCGCCGCGAGCCAGTACGGCTACGGTAGTAACGGCGTCCCCGGTGTCTGCATGGTCCCACCTACCGCGGTTGGTCATCAGCCGACTCAGTTCGTCGGTCATCAGCCGAACGCGGGATACGGCGGTGGCAACGCGTCGTACGGCGCGCCCGCCGTAGCGACCAGCCAATACCAGCAGGACGTAGTATCGATGAGATCGACGAACGGGGGTAACGTGAATTACCAGCACAGTCCCATCCCCGGCAATCCGACGCCACCGTTGACACCCGCCACCAGCATGCCGCCTTACATCAGTCCGAATCCGGACATCAAGCCTAATTTCAACGAGATGAAATCGCCCGTTAGCATTCAAAGTGAGTGATATTCCGTGGTAGGATTCACAACTCTTTGACATAAATTACAACGGTGTCTTGAGTTCAGAAATTATATTAACGGAAGAGATATTATCAGATGCACAATATCCATTTTTCTAGTTCCAAATCACAGAATAACGTCTATTATATATAAAATTAGAAAATAAACAAATAGATATTCTTCCAATATTTACATGCTTGCGAAGTTAACGCTTGCATTATACAGATACCAATTCTCTAAAACAGCTGTAGTGAGATTTTGCTGTTTATTTCAGATGACGAATTGAGACTAACATTCCCCGTAAGAGACGGCATAATTCTTCCACCTTTCCGCTTAGAGCACAATTTGGCTGTTAGCAATCATGTGTTTCAACTGAAGTCGACGGTACATCAAACGTTAGTGTGGCGGTCAGATCTCGAGCTGCAGCTCAAATGTTTCCACCACGAAGACAGACAGATGAACACGAATTGGCCGGCGAGTGTGCAAGTTTCGGTTAACGCGACCCCCCTCGTCATCGACCGCGGGGACAACAAAGCTTCCCACAAGCCTCTCTACTTGAAGGACGTCTGTCAAGCAGGAAGGAACACAATACAGATTACCGTATCCGCATGCTGTTGTGTAAGTTTGAGGATAATAATTAAACGATAGCACGCTTACATAATTCGAAGATAAGATATCCTTTGCAATGCGAATCGTACATTCAAAAACGAGTTTTCATTTCATGCAGACAGTTTTTACATATTTAATCGGGTATATCTTCGCATGATGTGTGCATCTATTTATTAATTATAAATTTAAAATAATTTTCTTGATTCTTTTTCTATAATTTTGTTTAGTTTTTTTTTAAATCACAATTTTTTTTTACTACAATTCTTTAGACTATTCCTTAAACGCCATAATATTCACTTACAGTCACATCTATTCGTGCTACAATTGGTTCACCGACCAACTGTACGAAGCGTACTTCATGGATTACTACGTAAAAGGCTGTTGGCGGCAGACCATTGCATAGCGAAAATCAAACGAAATTTCAGCAATACGATGTCGAACAATGGCATACAATCGGAGAAAGACGTGGTGGAGCAAACAGCACTAAAGGTAAAATTCACGAAAGCATTGTATATGCTGTCTTTTAATTCTACAGTTCTGTAGCGCAAAGTACCGATAATATTTTAATTCATGCGCATCTTATTCCGTGCAGGTACACTTAAAATGTCCTATCACCCATAAACGCATAACACTGCCAGCTAGAGGACACGAGTGCAAGCATATACAGTGTTTCGATTTGGAGTCGTATTTGCAAATGAATTGCGAACGGGGTAACTGGAGATGTCCAGTATGCTCGTAAGTATACAATTAAATCTTGACGCATTTATTGGAATCGAAGAAATAAAACAAGACAGACAGGAAGAAATAAAACAAATTGTCGCGTATTTTACAGGAAATCTGCACAGCTGGAAGGCCTGGAGGTCGATCAGTATATGTGGGGTATTTTGAATACATTAAATACGACGGAAGTTGACGAAGTGACGATAGACTCGCTCGCTAACTGGAAGCCCGCGAAGAACTTAACTAACATTAAGTCCGAAAACGAAGAAAATGATTGTAAGAGGACAACCAAGGCTATGTCGCCGGGCAGTATGAATATGCCAACTATGAACAATTGGGATATGAACCAAGCTATGAGCCCCTACATACCGCCCGATATGAACAGCATCGTGAGCGGCTCGATGATGAACAACACATCGTCCACGTATCCGAATAACAGCATAAACCACCGGAACACGTCCGGCGGAACGTACGAGATAAACTCCGGGACGAATACTATCGGCAATAATGATTATGTCAGCGGAACGGGTCCGCTTTCGCACTTAAACGAATCCGTCAATTCGTTAGATCCTCTCAACGCTATGGAGAAATCACTCAACGACCAGGTACGTTTTGCCGTGACGCTCGATTAAGCTCGAATAATATATTAACTTGGAAACTACTTGAAGATGAAGGCGCGAAATGTTAAGTGTGACAAATATAATTACAATCGATAAATATTTAAATGTGACGTTGTATACGTTACAGATGCCTCATACCCCTCATACGCCGCACACACCGCAATCTACCCCTCACACGCCGGCTGGCGGTGCCAGTGGGCCACCGAGCGTTCCGCCCGCGTCGCAAGAATCCACGGGAAACCTCAACACCTCCGGCAATACGAGTACATCTATAAATAACGACACCGCTTCGGACATACCGTCGGACTTAAATTTCGATCCTGCTGCAGTTATAGACGGGGAAGGCACCGGTCAGGAGGCGTTAAATGTATGTACATCGCGTCGTGTCAAATTACCGCGTCGTATCTTTTGCAGCAAACCGGAATATATGTTTGAATCTAAACGTTTTACATGTTTTGTTCAACAATATGTTATTTTGTCACCACAGCTCTTGCCGGACAATGTGGATGCAATGGAACTTCTCTCGTATCTCGATCCACCGGACCTAAACACTCCACCTAGTAGCGGCGCTAGCAGTGGTAATCCTTCCTCTAACGACGACATATTGGCGCTCTTCGAGTAAGGAAAAAGAAAACGAATAAGAAAAGAAAACAAAAGGCGAGTGACTATTTCGTAAAGATGTAATCAAACTGTGACCCTCTAACTTTGTAATAAAGTGACAAACGAGCGAACATCTTGCGGCAAACGTTCTTCCGACTACAGTACACTTTCGCGCAAATTTCTTAGAATCCTGGAGAACGAACGAAGTTGAACAAGATGTTCAATTTTTGTCTCGGATAGGAGAATAAATCCGTAAGTTTACTGTATGAGCGTTTGCTGTAAAAAAAAAGAGAAATCTTACGGGGGTCACTGTGGGTGCTCTCACCTAATCAATGGTACAAATAATCTTAGTTATAATTATAATATTCCTATTAAAATTACAGTTAAAAGGCTAGGGTTAAAGAAATGATTTTTAATAATAATACTGCAAGAAAGAAAACACCATACTATTTGTAAAGACGTTATTGCATGGACAGCGATATTGTATATACATTATTGGAAGTATGTTTTTTTTTTTAAATAGAGCGCGTTAAACAGCACGCCAGGCAAATATTCCAGAAACGATTTTAAAACAGCATAACGCTATATTTAAATATAAATGATATTGTAATAGATATTTAGCTGTTATCAAATTGTGATTATCAAGATAATTATTAAAAAATTATTAGTTTGTTATGAGTCTGTATTATAAAGCTGCATTTCTATATATTTATGTGTTCATTTTATCGAAATAAATTATAATGGATAAAATTTTGTTCCGTTTTGAATCGTTTTCGAATATTTGCTTGGAAGAAAAATTATGCTGTGTTAAATTATATACATCGTTTTGGAATATTTTAGAATTGTTCCTGCAATAAGATCTTTATACTCGAAAACCGGTCTATTCGCATTCAAGGCTATGATAGACCTACGCAGCAGAGAGATACGTGTACAGACCTACTTTTGTAAATAAATTTGAATCGCGATAAGAGTAAGATATTCATCGGTTGGGGAATTCCCCGCCTATTGATGGATATTGTGCATATAGTGTTCCTTTCCTTTAGATTGTAGCAACCGATGGAAACAGATGAATAAACTAGGGGATATCGGGCTTCACACTGGAAACTAAGAACATGTGATGTATCTCCCGAGATAGAAATTACAGATATGAGAGAAAAGAGAACATATATATATATATATATACATATATATATATGTATAAAAAAGTTATATTGATCTAAATAACGTCTTTAAAAATCTAATAATTTTATTGTTTTCAAGAGACCTTAGTTAGCTCCATGCGAGAACATCTCTGTATGCACATATGTTTTGACTGTTGTAAATAAGTGATAAAGATGCATGTGCATATGTATTTAACATTTCAGAAACTTTATACCTAAAACGTGTTATTTGTTAAATTTCTTTTTCGCTACTAGTTTTCATTACAATGTTCAGGTTACAATTTTAGAATCATTGATCTTCTATTTTAGACGAAATTTATATATACATTTATTTATATCTATATTTATGTTCACATAAATATACATATATATAAATATATACATATTTCGTATATATATGTATACATATATATACGTACAACAATACATAAGTTGTGTACGTTATGTATGAGAATGTGTATGTGTACATGTACACATATATACATATACAAATTTTAAAATAGAAAATGTTTTTTACGTCTTCTGATGATGTTTGTAACCTCTGAAGATACATCAGAATTTACACATATAGAATTTATTTTCACATTTTGATATGTCAATATATATGTGTATTTTGAGTCGTCTTGCTATAAATGATTAAATGTTTGTGTGATACATACTTCTGAATTATTACTATTTCGGATTGACAAGTTTTTGTGCATTACAATTAGACTTTTCTTTATTATCGGATTGCGGTGTGAACTGCTTTAATCATTGCCGTCAATTAAACTTTTCATTGCGCGATATTCAATAAAGTAATTTTCAGAAAATGTGTCAGCTGAATAACGAAAGATATAAATTATGCATGAAATTAATAGCAATATTTACACAAGGCCTTAAGGAAATCGTGTACCGTATGATCCGTATTGTAATCAAATTTTATATGAGGAAGAATCAAAATTTTTTTGTGAGAGAAATATATATATTGCAGAATAATTACATAAACAGGGCTTTATTACACACAGAAATAATTATATACTTGAACTTATTATTTACACAATGGTTGCGTTCGCAACAATTCAGCATGCGAAAATAAATTCTGTATATCTTCTTGCACAATCTAGCGGTCAACTGATTTGTCGTTTCGTAAGAATGTAAATCAGGTATCCGCGTATGTAAGAAAAAAAAAAGATACTGCCAGAGTGATACCGCCCAAGACCCCCCTGCTTGTGTAGTGGTTATAAACATTTGTATCTTTTGTGATTAAAAAGAGAAGATATACTTAAAGCGACTCGTGTAGATTATACAGATTTTATATAAAAACCGTGTGTGTGTGTATACATGTACACATACACGCACATACACACACACCAGTGTGCAACGCTAGCGCACAGCGAATGATAGACACAGTCAAGTTTCTATGCATATAACTACTATAATTATTGAGATTTAGATTTTAATATTACTTGTATTAAGCCGCGACTATTGTATATTATTTGTATATATGGTAAATAGAATAATAATATAAGAAAAGTGGCAGATACTTATTGGCCAGTTATAATAGTAAAATGATTATCCTAATTATTTCTCAGAACCAAAACGTACACGAGATGTATGAGGATACTTTAAACTAGGGAATGTAACATGTAAATGGCTGATGAAAACGACGATAACAGGTACAGTTGAATATTGTACTGTTATTTCTCTAATAGAATTATTACTTACTTATTAAAAAAAAAAACATAATTACCTAAAGAAGTTTATTCAAACTGTAAGCTTTACTTAGGATTGCCAAGAAGTAGTATGCGCAACCCCCCCGTTGCGATTGTACATAGGCAATGTTTACCTATACCTAGCTAATAATACCCCTAAAATATTATACACGATACACCGTCTTAGTTTATGAGAGTCTTGGAGATTTATAGATATTTCGTGAGAAATCACATCTGAAGAACGTGAAAAGCGATATTTGTATTACGGTGCGTTGAAAGATGATAATAAATTGAACATAATGACAAAATTTCTCAGTTCTACAATAATTTGCAAAATATGTAGTTGTTACTTGTTAAGAAATTAGTATGCAATATTGTATATTAAAAGACAATTTTCACATCATTTTCTTTCTTTTTTTTTAGCAGATCGTCGGCTAATGCTACTTTGTACGAATTTTCGTTGCAATAATATAAGCTGATTCATTGCTGTCTAACGAGACTTCTACAAATCTCTGTGGCTCTAAATTACAATACCTATTTATCTATCGTTAGGAGGCCTATAATTTGATTTTGCTCTACGAACAAAACAGATAATTTCGCGACTGCGAATTACGAATGTCGTCCGAGGCCTGGAAAAGTTACGAAACAAAGATATTCTCACGTAAACCGTATCGAGACTCATGGTGTATCGGCTGCGCATCGATCGCAAGCTCTATTATCGAATAACATATGGAATATCGATATATCCACGTGATTACGCATTGCATTTACATGATTTATGATGGTGTATCGGATTGTTTATTCGCGTGTACGCGCCACCGCAGAGTTTTTTTTTACCAAATCATATCAGAGGATCCACGTTTCAACTTGCAGTTGATATCTCTTGACAAAGATATTTGCTCAGCAAATACATCATGAGTGTTGACATCGGCTCGTGTCGCAGGGTCTGTCCGTTTCGGATGCGCTTCTTGCGCTTACAAGCGAGCTATGAAGTGTACATTCAGATCTGGGAACAAACTAGAGGAAAGAAGTTAAGATGCAGCAAGCCGCAACTTGACGAACAGACCTGCAGTTTCGCTCTCCGTAAGACGCGGAAGTGCGCATTATAAATTGAAAAAAAAAAAGAAAGAAAACACTGATATCATTGATTACGTTCACATAAAAAATTTTAATAAAAACCAGTTTTTAAACATGTACGACAGACACAACATTGTTTCTTGATAACGGTTAGAATCATTCAATAAAAAAGTCATAAAACATAAACGTGAATCGTGAATCATTTATTCCTGACGGTCGAATAATCGCCGAGAAACTATTACGAAACGATGCATGGGAAGCTGGCGATGTCATAAAAGGATGTTTAAGAAGAAGAGAATGTTCCTACTAATTGTCGTTTAATTACGAGACCCGTAATTGCATCTATAATAGCATGTTTTACTTTGTGTTGCCGACATCGCAAGAATTACCGCGTTTATTGTTTGTCTTGAGAGAGATACTCAAAGAATGTTTTTTGATCGGATTATTGATTGGATTATTAGAGAATATCAAAAAGAGCAGATATATAAAATTAAAGACACTATTCCGTGCATTGAGAAATGTGATTTTTTTCTTTGATTTATTTATCTTTTAAAAAGTAACGATAAAAAAATGCAAAATTATTACTATGACTCAATTTTGGCTTGTTTTCTTGAGAATTATGGCGTTGTAGAATAATCAGTGGGACATGGTGTTCCGGAGACGTGGCTCTGAAGATTTCTTCTATGAAAGAGAAAAGGTTTTTGTTTCAGGCACCGACGAATTGACGAACACAAGTTGGTATTATATAACATCGTTTTATTAGATTTAAATTGAAATTGATTATAAATTATGGTGATGAATTCGAATACTAGGACTAGGACAGATGGTTTTTCGCTGCTTTGCTCGGTATACTCAATTTTATATTGCATATTATGGTTGTCGAAGAATGAACGCCGTTGCTGAAATTTCTCTCCCGCTTTCTACCTTCTCTCTTTCTCTCTTTTTCGTTCTCAATACATACGCGCGCACACACATACGCACACGCATATTTCAGACACGCGCATCTCTCTCTCTCTCTTTCTCTCTCTGTCTTTCTCTCGCTCTCGATTCGATAGAAACAATATTAATCGTTTGTATTAAGCATTTTACGCGCGTAATATAGAACTAACTTCTCGCCGGCGCGATCTCTCCTTTTTCTCTCGATTCCGCATAATCGACGAACTCCAGTGCACTCGGAGTCGTCGTGAACGCGACGCGCGTTCGGCAGTGCTACGCAAGGAAATCGGCGTTTCGCGCCGGGCGATCGGATTCCACGGATCGTCGATTCACGAATCTCTCGGTGCAGAGCTCTTGCAACGCATCTCTGGATTCGCGCGTTTAATGGAATTTCGATCTATCTCGCCTCGGGTACATCCGAGTTCATCCCCCATCGTTTCCACGAGTCCAGAAACAGTTCTTTCTTACAGGTTTTTTCCCCACCCCGCTTCCGCCGCGCCTAACACGTTTGATTTGAACGGTCGCTTCGATAATCTCGATCGATCGTACTCATTTTACAATTGTACGCCGTGTCTCGTTTTTCAAGAAACATACATATACTCGTATTCACGAAACGCAAACGAGAATGTCGAAGTGAAAACGATGCTGAAACCGGCGTAGATGACATCCTTTGTTTTACAGCGCGATTATGAGTGCTTTCGTAATTCCGTTTTCATTCCGAAGTGACATACGAGAGTTCCTCCGCCAAACTTCCGTTAGCAATACGATCCTGCCGTGACAATTAATGTTGGTTGTTAATTTGTAAATGTTTATGCAGAAAATTCACGCATGTACGCGTAAGCGCGTAATCTAGGCTTATATAGTAGTCGAATTGTTGTGTGAACTCAAAAGGCGGACAATAAGAAGCCAACCTTAGCCGTTTATTTTTCTTATATAATATTATATCATTTTTGTATCAAATGAAAATTAAATTTCTTTTGATATTTTTGGAGAGTTTTATATACATATGTATAAATTATATATAATTTTATATATACATATAAATTATAAATAAAATTGTATACAGTATACATATATACACTCCATTCCAAATTTTGAATAGCAACAATTAAAGAACTGTTTCAATGGCGGAAGAGTCTCATATTCTCTCTTACACAATTGTGAATCAGTCGTTTTATGAAATAAAAAAACAGTTTGACGATTTTGGGGCGGCCACTTCGCGAAAGTCTCGAAGGCCGGTTCTGTCTCCATCGGGGCAATCGATGGAGATCTGATAATAACTTTATTGATATAATGGCAGTGCGTACGTAACATTAAACCCTTTAATTTGCCGTTAACCGCGCTGCAGATAATATGTTAACCCTTTATGTCAAAAGTACGAATGCCCGCAAGTCAACACGCTTAATCTTCATGTTGTTTCGCGTTCAATACAGATGTATTATCTATAAAATGATTAAAAAAGACTAAAAAAAAAAGATTTTATTTCTCACGACGAGTAAATTGCTCCAACAAAAGTCAATGACAAAGTTGCCAATCATGTCACGTGGGCATGCACTTGGTTCATCTATAACGTTCTGATGACTCAATATTTAATATTTTTATTTTAATATTTTAATACGAGTTTAATATGATACAAATAAAAATGTCAATATTATATCATACGTTTCAATCGAGCTAAAAATTTCTTTTTTTTTCCGTTTCTCTCTCCACTGCACTTTCTTCGCTGAACAGATGTCGAAACGGAGAAAACGTTGATCGATCTCGATTATCCAAGCGAACTTTTCGCGCCTTCTCGCGCTTTTGGCGCGCGGCGCGATCGGGCCAGTATTCGCCGTATAACACTAATTAACTAGCGTTAAAATTCCGCAATTAAACTATGGCAGTGTATCTTAAATCGTGCGTTCCACCGCGACTCGACGTCCGTTCGGAACCTTCGGCCGCTTCGCCCAGGTCTAGAAAACGTATTTTTTTTTTCTCTCTAAGTTTCGAGTTAACTCTTTGCTAGATAAAAATGCGGTCGTAACCGTCCTTACGTTACGTGTCGCTCCTCCAACGCATTTTACTATACGCTATGTAATTAGATTAATTTAATCTTATACGTGTCGCGCGTGCTTGTATCGCGCGTGAATACCGTGACACGTTCTCCTCGCGCTCCCCTCTCTCCTGCGTCCTCTCTCTACGGCGCTCGAGTTTTATAGAAAAGTCGGTACTGAGATTCGGCATAAAAAAGCTATCGTTCTGGAAAAGCTTAAGAAAACACTGAACTACGCTCCCACGTGTCGCATATCGTACGTCGCCCTTGCATTCTCTATAAGACAAAAGTCGCAAGTGGTATCTTGCTGTGACGGTGCTTTGTGACGATGTGATGCCTCGAAGTGAATCGAGTTCGGTACAAAAAACGAGCGGATGCTGAGTAATGTACAGTATGATCGAATCCTCGAATTCGCGCGCACGCACTCTGAAACCTCCAACGCTCTCCACAACTTGAAACTCGTGATGTCGCAGAAGTTGCTACTGCGAGTTCTGTGATGTCCGAACTTCTTCTCTCTCACTCTCCTCTTTCCTCTAAAATCTGAGTATAATTTACTTACAAAGCTTCGAAAAAAAAAAGAAACACATTCCTGTAGCGTTTTATGTTTTCAACAATATTTATTTGTAGCAATATTAATAATATATTACCATATGCAAACAATATAATATCAAATATCAATTACAACATAATGTATTATATAATTATGACATAGCTGTTATGTGTGTAACACATTATAGTAATATATTGTTAATATTACGAGGCGCTCGCAAAAAAAAATTATGGACCATTAAACTGTACAGGATTATTTCACCTTCGCGTAACTTACGATTGATTTCTCGGAAACTTGGCGCAATCGACCTTACGTTTTACACGCCAGATATAGAAATTCATCAGTTATCCTTGATTTTTTTTCTACGACTTCCTTCGTAATTATCGGCCTAGATATTTTTATAAACGATTTGTCTACGCATTTTATAATGTTACGCAGGCCACAAGAGGGAGAATTGCGCTCGATTCTTTCGGTAAAAAAAATGCTCGCCAAGGAAAAATCGAGTAAAAATTATCTTAAGAACGATTCCTACTAGACGGCGTTCTACATGTACAAATCTTTTTTTTTCTGCACGGATAAGCACGATGAATTTTTGGTTATTACTACTTAGCAAATGTGCGCTTAAATCGTACAAAAAGACGCATTTCGGACGGTTACAAGTATATTTCCTATATGATTCCGTGTGTGTTAACTTAAACAATTACGTTTAATGTTTTATCCAATGCGCGATTCGATCGTTACTTCCTGCGATTACGAGGTCTCGTCTAGACTCTAGAGCGAACGATGTCGTTAACGGGGCTAATTAGCCTGTTTTCGAACAACTCTTAACAGTGAGACCACGTGAGAAAGAATTCACGTCAAATTTGGGCGTAATTCGAACGTTTTACAGTTTGGATAGACGTAACGAGAAGAAGCGTAAAAATCATATTACAGCCGCAATTTAATATCTACTATCCTTTTTGTTGTGCCTGGAGTATCACACTATACATTTTTACCTACAGTTTTTCCTATCAAATATCCAATATATCAAACCGTTAAAAAACAGGTTATATATGACAAAAAAGGTTTTATACTCGATTCGACCTGAAAATAGGTCAATCGATCGCAGTAGCAACTTTCGCCCCCCGCCCCGCTCTCCCCCGCATGATCTAATGGTAATGCCGGGCTCGCAAAATCGGTGTATATATATCGTTTGTATACATATAATTATATTTATATATATATATGTATATATATAACATATTGCCATTATAACAATTACACAGCACAGCCAGCAACTCCGTTTATTTACATTTTCCTCTCCGTCTCTATCACCTTTGTTATTGATATTACTCAATCGTTTCCCGTCTCGTCGCTCATACACGCTCAAGGAAGAACTACGTTATATAAATCTTTACGGTTAACAGGCTCCTTGATTTTTAACGATCACGATAAACGCGCGAAGCGGACATCCCGTGTATATGCAACGACGCCGCTTTTAATTAATATATATACGAACGATCGCGTACACTCTGATCTTGCCTTATTTCCTGCTCGGAAACGCCACGTGAATCCGTATCGGTATCGCCTGCAAGAGATTCATGGGTTTTATCGCGTAGGCCAACAATCGAAATGTACCAGGATTGTTAAAGGTTGCGTTTGCGATCGTTTTTCAGATGGCCACTTACCGATTAAAATCAGACCCGATACGAAAAACTTTCACGTGGCTGTAGTTAAATTTCGAAAAATTGAACGTGACACACATTTTCGACTGATTGTGAGAGCTATTCTCACGTGTCAAATTATTTCCAATCGTGTGAAAATCGCTCGGCTCTCGCTCAAGGAAAGATTGATCAGAGGCGTAAAAAACCGTGCATGTATGCTTTTCACCGTTCGAAACTACGTTTGATTCTCGTTTCATTCCCTCTCCTACTCGTCTCGGGTTTCAAACCGAGTGGTATCGCGTACAAGATCAATTTGTACTCGATGGTATGGTAACGTTTGCTTTGAGCAGAAGGCTGTCCATGAAAGCCGCATAATGCCCCGCTTGATTCTTTTTAACCGAGAGATGTGCGAAACACGAGATGGATATCCCTACTTCATAACATAATTGGAAGATAAAAACAAATTTGCGTGAGCCAGTATATTATCTTAAATAAATTTTGCTATTTTTTAATTTGGCATTTTTTTTTAGAAAAGACTGTATTTTCTATTCACTTTCTTAATAGATCGTATTTGTTGAATAATCACGCTTTTTTTATCTATTAACGTTTATTCATTTCCACGCTTGAAATAAAAATATAGCGATTATCACAGCAAACAAATATTTTAGCGGTCGTTATAATGGTGACCAAAGTAAAGTGCCTTTATCTTTTGAATAAAATTAATATTGCACTATTATAAATTAACATTTTTCTTGGAAGAAGAAAATTTGTTCTATTTTTGCTTCACAAAAAGAAACAAAATGTAGCTAAACAAACAATGTGTAAAATCCTTGCAATAATTTGAAACAAATTTGATTATTATCAAAAGTCAATTTGATATCGAAACGAATTTACGTGATATTGTATGTACCGCGGACAATGAAACGCCTCTCTTGTCGTACTTCAAATTATGTCACGGCTGGTAATTGGGACATCCACCTTGACATCCATGAGATAAATTGGCTACCCGACGGTCTCTCACATTACCGAGGCACGCATTACGTGTCGTCAACATACACGCGCACGCATCCAAAAGTACTGCGTAGGGATGGGGGGGGGGGGGAGAAGAGATATGAGGAAAGGCGGTAACTACATTCGGCATTTATTAAGCTGCAAATAAAGATCCGCACTCAGAACATAACCGCGATAACGAAAGCATGTAATTGTAATAAACGTAAAATATTGTCCATAAAGATACGAGATAATCTATAATCTCTGTAATTAAAATGCAAATGTGAGTTTTTCACTTAGTTTCTGCTGATCCTTCAGTTACGTTATGGTTATATCTGCGAATGTACTTCTCAATGTTATGAGATTTTGTACGATTTCACGTCTCATTTTGTAGCGAAAATGAATATCACGCTGGTATAATTTTACAGCAAAAAAAAATGTTGAATTACGAAGAAACGTATATATTCTCAATTTTTACAGAGAGAAACAAGATAGGAACTTTGAAACGATCCTCAGAACGGCCGAAATATTCTGAATACGGAACTCCCCACGTTTCATATAATGCGTATATATTAAATTCGAGAAATATATGAAAACGAGATCAAGTAGTGACGAAAACTATTAAAAAAAAAAAAATAGTCCGCACTTCAGAAAGTATGAAAAGTACGCGAAGAGGTATTAAATTTATCGCTCAATATGTGCCTCTTAGCAATGTGTCGCTCTTAACGCGGATTTCTGAAAACGCAGTGCATCTATGATACATCATTTAGCTGGAAAGTATGTTTTTAAAATATCCTCTTCGTCGTTTAGAACACACGTGCAGCTATCGCGTTGCTATATGTACAATGATTTTGTCGCGATCGTACCTCACGGTTTATAAAAAGCTACAAAGAATCTCTTTTATGTAATTTGCAATTCTTTGACATCTGACGTCGATAGTTTCCCGTGCCGCGTTTCTAAAATGCGTTGGCAAAAATTTAATGAGCAACGTTACCGAAAATAAATAAAATATTTCTTAAATTTGCTCACTACTTGCTTCCTGATCTTAAAAACAAAACAGAAAAGAGGAATTTTGATACATGTATTATCCTCTTCTATTATCATTACACTGCAAATTTCTTTAAATGGGACAAATTAAAAATCGCAATCAAAGAATAAGACGAATTAAAGTTGAAGAAGCGTAACAGAATATCGAATAGATTTTTTTCTTAGAAATGGCTTAAAATTAACGCCAAAAGAAGCTAATAATTTTTTCAAGTTGTGCCAAATATGGCACATAAGTCGATAGCGTGCACTTGTTTCGAGAGTAATATAGTTTCGTATTATCCAAATATGATAATAGAGTATCAATGGTGATATCGATGACAACGACGTATGATGATAGTGGAGATGTTGCTGATAACGACAATAATAATTAATTAATAGATAATTAATACTAATAATAATAGTAATTAATAGCAATAGTTAGAGTAATAGTTGGAGCAATAACCGCAATAATAATCATTACAATATAATAATAATAATGTCATAATAAAAAATTATTTTTAATAATAGCAATAGTAATAATAAAGTAGCATTAGTTATTAATAATATAATTAGTAATAATAATTCTTATTATTACTATAATAATAGTTGATATTAACGTTTTCTTGGTAAAAATAAAAATAACTAGATAACGTGCTATCTTCTAGGGTAATAATGCGGATCGACCGTATGTCTAACTATTCGGGCAACAGGAATAATACTATCAGTTAATTTAACGTAATTTCTATAAAGAGAAAATAATAAGGTTTCTTCTGTTAGTGTATTAACGTTACATTATACATATGTATTTGCGTGTATGTATATATGTACACGGGGATAGAGTTATACATCTGGTTTGCGTCGTGAGGGTAAATAATATGGAGTATATAATTGTACGTGTATGCAAATATATACTCGGTGTGCAATATCGTGTCGGATGTTAACACGTTTATTAACGAGCACCATAAAAAAGAATGGTGCTTTCATTTGTTCACATATATATATTTTTTTTTTCATATATATATATTTTTATATATATATATATATATATAGATTTATATATGTGTACAACCGTAATTAAAATTATATATTAAACTTCTTTAGCACATTTACATTACTTGTGTGTTTCCGTCGTTCTATATAATAAGATTACTATAATCGGGGATCCACGGCGGCATTGAATTAATCGAACACTTTTGGCATTTCTTTTTAGTCCCGGTATTTCTCGTAAGTTTTGTAAAATGAGGACATTCCTCGACAAATTGTATGGGCGTGCGTTTGTACGTGCGTTGCGTGCGCACTCATGCTGCATGTACGTGCGTGCGCACGAAAATGTCTCGGCTTTATTTTCAATCCGCGCTCGTCAGAAAAGTCCTTGCTCGTACCTTCGTCCGTCCGCCAAAAGTTTTTTGCCTATGTCGCGCGGCGATATCCTTCCTGACAAGAGTTTAAGTCCGTTTTCGCGTGTGTGACTTTTCGTATGCTGATTCTCAGTCTTCCATTAACAACCTCGCATCGCACACTTTGCTCGCATTCTAGTCTACATTCTCTCCTCCTCCCCTCCCTCCCTCCTCTCTCTCTCTCTGTCTCTCTTTTCCTATCTCTTACCCATTTCTCTCTTTCCCTCTCCCTCTCGCTCTTTCTCTGTTTCCAGTCTGTACACTGGCAGTGTGTCTTACAGATCCTTTGGATTTGACTTGGCACAAACAACAGAGTCTTTGTAAAAAAGGCACTATTTTTGTAAAGCGAAATAGTCTTGCTCGAGACATCCTAATTTTATTTTCCGCGAAACACACACAGATCTTTATCGGGTGGAAAGTATCGATGAGAATGTAAGTTCGGCGCGCGACCATCAGTTTTCACTTTTTACTCGTAGAGTGATTTTGATCTATTTGTCGAAATTCAATAAACGGTGTATTATCGAAGCCGAAATTACACATCGTGCCTTTGTAGAAAAGTTTGGCTGTGTGATTAGTTGAAATTTAAATTTCTTTCTCTATACGTCGGGAAGGAAATGATTAACCGTCGAAATCTACAATTTCATTTAGCTCATCACACGGTCTTACACGTACAAACATGTAAATGCAATTTAATTTGGGAATCTTTATCCTGCCATTTATTATATTCATATAAAAACATCAGTCGTCAGTCTTATAAAGTTTTAGTGCAAAAGCATGTACATTTTTTTCTTGCATATTCCAAAGTCTGAATTGTGCGAGTTATTCGCGGCGAGGAGGATGAGAAATATGCGTGAATGTCATGTTAAGGTGAGAACGTGATTATATCGCATTATAAAATGAGAAAGTTTCGCGGAAAAAAATAGTTGCTTTACTATAAATCACGATCAGTTCCATTACACATTATACAGCTATCAGTAATATCCAAATTCGCCGATCTGGCGAATAAATCGAAAGTGCTTCCTCGTGCTTTTTACTTTCGTAATATTTCATTATATAAACGAGTATACAGATGTTCTAAAGAATGTATAACAGTAGCGCCACTTTTTCATAAATTCATAAATTATAATTTTATAAATTATATTAAACTTTCACTTTACTAAATAATAAAATGTTCTATCTTAATCAAAATCGAAAAAAAAAAATTTGTTTTATTGAATAAGTTTAGCTCATAAAACTCAAGTATTTGAATACAATTATTTGCAAACCAATTTCAACAAAATGTCTTAATTCTATTAAATTCTAATCATTAAGAAAAGAATAATGTGTCATTAATTTTTTTTTTTAATTAAATTTTTGTTACGGAAGAATAGTCTCACTTTCTAATCTAATTGCCGCTATTGTGTGTACACTTTTCTGAACAGCTATATAGAAGTCGACCATTAGGTTGCCTTTTGCAATTATCTATTCTGGTCCGCGTGAAAAAACGATGGTGCACCAATGTGCACATGTTAATTTCCGATCGATTTAAACACGCTCGTCTCGAATCGTAGTCGCGTTTATTAACGAGACGAAGCATTTTTTTTCCTCGTCCAACTTTTGCGGCATCCAGCAGAAAATGTGAGTCGTGCAGTTTACGGTTTCCAAGTGTGAATAATCGATCACACAGTCCGAGCTCGCTGCTAAAGTTGTAAAACGCATACAAATGTCCAGTCGCGCGGGTTTTATTAACAGTCAGTGGTGTATATTGTATAGTAATTGTATATATATGGATATCAAAATTTTGAAAAGACGTCTACATGAGTCAAAAAGTGCGTTTTCCTGCGTATGATAGAATTAGCGTCGGAGGCGGTAAAGAAAAAAGTCCACGTTTTTTTTTGCACCCACGATGCACGTCTGCATCCTCGCGGGGAGAATATCCGTAGAGAGAATGATCGTTTTATAACCGCTTGCAAAAGCGGGGTGCAGTTATATTCGTTCGTTATATTCGCTCGATTTTTGTTCGCGTTTGTTCACAGATTTTTTACCATTCGGGGACATAGAGATAAAATAAGTTACTTCGATTCGTCGGCAATCGAAAATGGGCGTGTAGAGCTGTATATGTATATCACACCTACTCTCTTCGCTCGATCAGTGAACGACGTACGGCTCCGAAACAGCCTTTTTTTCCTTCGCTTCAACATTCAAACTCATTTCATCACAAATTTAACGTGAAATGCGGTCACATTTTTTGTTTATACGGAACGAGCTTGTGTTATTCGTTATGCGATTCCTCGAGATTTAACGCATCATTCGACGTTAAATGTGCGATAAAGATGAGTACTTTTCCGCATACTCTCTCGCTCTTTTATTCTGTTTCTTTCGCACACCTTATCTCTCTTTCTTAATTCACTCGCGGCACATCTCACTCTATCTTGAATTTTACTCTCGCGCTCTTCCTTTCACTTTCCTTATTTTTCATCAAGACGTTAAAAATTTAAAACAAGAAACGACAGAGAAATCAACAGACGTTATAACGTTGACACAGCCAAATCTTTGTTTATACATTTGCTTCATCATTGCTGCCCCTCTCGGATACGCGAGATATTATTTGTCGCCAGAGCCAGTTTAAGACTACCGTGATCATTGCAATTAGTCTCGCTTGACCTTTCGGTTAAGCGATGAGTCTTTGAATGTAAAAACTAATTGAAGAAAAAAAAAATTTGATCTGTAGTTCAAGAAATGAAAAAAACGTGTGGTCCGAGAAACGCTTTCTACTGAGTCGCGTCTATATTCTCCTCATGATTTTCTACATTTACGGCCAATTGTCTAATATATACAGCGGCCCCGAATCGTGCTTTGCATAAAATCCGAGAACGTCTTAAACCTCGGCTCGATTCATCTCGGTATTACACGGTGACGTTGCACTCTCTTGCGGCTTTTTCTTCCTCCTCTTCTTTTTGTTCTTCTTCTTCGTTTTCTTCTTTGTTTCTTACAGTCCTCTTTCAGCCTCAACATAATTAGGAAGCAATGATCCTTCCGTACCCGAATCCCTCTCTTCCCGCTCTCTCTCTCTCTCTTTCTCTCTCTGCCCTCTTCTCGCCTCGTTTACCAAACTCAATGAACACTTGGTGGATATTGCGTTTATCGGTGTACTGGACGATTCTCCGTGATCGCGACTCGCGGAATCGAGATTCCTTCGACGAATGCGGCGGAATTCCAAACGTTCATTCCTGACTAACTAATTTTTGTTAAGGAGATTGGCGATACCGGGTAATAAAAGCGAAAGCGAGCTATCGATCGTAACAGCAACGAGATTGTAGACAACGCGCGTTCGTACGCGCGCGCGCGCGGAGATATGCATCAATCATATTTCGTCTCTCTTTAACTTCGTTAAAAATCAGAGATTCACCATACTTTGCGGCGATCCTACTTGGCCACTGGAGTCGTCCAGTTCACTGTCCTTACAATATTATTACTCGCTGATTGGCTGACATGCGTTTACAATTCGCAGACGGATACACGTCCTCCGCATGTATATAACTGCAATAACCTAATCTAATTAATCTTATTTATAACAAACACTGGCTTTCCGTGACTGTGTAACTCGGGAGAGGAAAGGAGTATAACAACACGCTACGATATCAGTGTTAACGAAATGGATTCACGCGAATTATATATAATAATCTTAATGCGACTCCAGCGTAATATATCCTTTTTCGCGTGTGCATGTACAAAAAAATACAGCGCGTCTCGTTCAGTCCGTTGAAAATGTACACGCGGGAATAATTAATAATATAATAATAATAGCAATAATAAAAATTAAAATAATTAGAGTAAAATCGTTACGCAATAATAATAGTAATAATAATTGGAATAATAATACTTAGCGTCGTTATTATTACTATCATTATCATTATGTATACGCATATATAAGTGCCTAAGGGTATGTATGTATATAAGAATGAAATGCGTCTTTCATCCATATATACATAAGCGGTATCGCTCTCTCGCTTCCTCTCTCTTACATACAACACACGCAGCATACACACACATTCTCTATGTACAAAGAGTAAACAATGAAATATTACACCGCTTATTAATTTTGGATCCCCATTCTCGTAACGAGTAATATCACGGAGATTACATCGGAGAAACCAACAAATTCGATAATCGACGGAAAAATTTCCTTTTCGTCGCCGCGCCACGTTCGTCGCGAATCGTGGCGCGTGCAAACTCTTCGAAAGTGTATCGCGCGAGTCACATACGCGCGTTCATGCACTGTTGCGAACAAGATACTATCAACCTTTTCGGTACGGTAAAATGCATTGGAAAAGCATTCCCACTAGTTGCCGTAATAAAATGTTTAATAATACCAGCTATTAAATCAGAGGAATTTTGCACATTTTTGGATGTAAGGATGTAAGAATGATTCTTCTTTCATGTATTCTTCGGCTTATTCCAGTTAGCGTTCCACAGCGGATGATTATAATCATCCTTCATATCAAAAGAGTTAAAAATCGACAACTTTTGGAAATTCGTATGATTGCCAAAATGTAGACGGTTATAGTTTATAATATAATATTAATTTTGTATGTTATTATTATTATATCTTGATGTTTCACAATAATGGAAAAAATGCATTACGGCTATATGTGATGTAGACAGACATTATTTATGAAGCGTCTGTATAATAAATTGTACATTTAATATTACATTATAAACTATAATATATTGTTCACATATTTATGTCGATAAATTTATACCTACAGTCTGTAATGTCAAAATTCTTTTTTATCACTTTCGGATTTTCGGATCTCGATCACGGTTGCCACCAATTTAAATTAATAAATTAATATTTGCCCAAGTTAAATTAATATTTCGTTGGAGGTCGATTTTTAAAAGGAAAAAAGAAAACTAGTGAAAATACTCGACACAAGTTTATTTTCTTAAAAAAAAAAAAAAATTATAAAAATTAAAAATGCTGCATATTCCTCTTTTCACAATTGGAAGAAATTCCAATTAAATGCCATTTTCTCACGTTATTTACTGTGCGTGTCATCAATAAGGCGCCATAAAATTCTTATCACATCATCTTTTACACTATTTTTTTTAAAACAAAGTCGTCAAAATGCATCGCCAGCGTACAAATTTTCAGTCAGTATCGGCGACACCGCGCCAAATTTTTTCACTATTATACTCTTCTTGCCGCAAACAATGAAAAAACAACGATCCCGTTCGCGCTATTGACATCATTTCTGAACATGCGCTGGCACGTCTCTTTCGCATTACATCAACCGGAAATTTTTTTCTGTCTGCCGGAGATTTATTCAAAAAGCCGGAGTCTCCGGCCGAAAACCGAAGAGGTGGCAACTGTGATCTCCATTGACAGTTACAAAAATTTTCCCATGGTCGATAGTGTTTAATAGTATCTTGTTGGTGGAACACAATATATCGATATATATATATATAATTTATATATATAACACGATATACATACAGATTTATTTCCTCCACCCTGTCAACTTTAGAATTAGCAGCATAATCTTTCATCTATCTCTTAATTACAACGTCTCGATAGTAAAAAGGTAGTAAGTAATGATAGAAACAGTAGCAGTATTCCTACCGGTATCAACAAATATTAGCGATTGTGGCGGTAATAAAAGTAAAAAAAAAAGAGATAAAACGTGATGGATCAGTTACAAATACGTTTAAGGATCTAAACCTATCGTCCGCGTGTATGCGCTTATGTATATTTATATTTATATATATATATATATGTATATCTCTCTATGTATGTATAAAGGTTCATCGCCATCGTACAAATTTTCAGTCAGTTTCGGCGACACCGCGTCAAATTTTCCTACTATTATACCCTTCTTGCCGCAAACAATGAGAAAACAACGATGTCCCGTTCGCGCTATCGACATTTATGAACACGCGCTGGCACATCTCTTTCGCATTACATTACGCGCTCCTTACGTGTGTAAAGTTTCTTCAACATTTACTAGATGTACAATATATACATGCATACACATACATACATATATATATATATGGTATATATAAAATATGTATATGTGTATATGCTTGTACATACAGAGTTCTCGCCAAGTCTGTTGCAGTCTCGCATTTTATGTCGCATTGCTCGATACGTGGCGCCGGGAAAAGTGAAAACGCTCGCACTCGCGTGATAAACCGTTCGCGCCGCTCCCCCGTGTTTTCAAGCTGGATAGAAAAACTTTACAGACGTTCGACAGCTCTCGACGGGAGAGAATTCTCCCGGGGGACGACGTCGAAGCGTGCGCGGCCGTTTTATTATTTTTTTTCTCTTTTTTTTTTTTCATTCACCGACACACAAGAGGCGAGACACGCGACAGCGACGACAGCGCGCGACGACGGTTGCTATAATACTCTATGTAGTAACAAAACTGAAGATCCGCGAGAGTCGTGTCGAGAATTTGCGTGCTACTTGCGTGTCTCCCAAACACGCTCATTTTGGTACACGGTAATAACGCAGAACGAGGTAGCCCAGGGTCCGGAAAACGATTAAGAACGCCAGTAGCACCGCCGTGTTCCCCCACAAACCCCACAATGGTAGACCAGAACCCTTGACCCCGCCTTGACTTTCCAGAATCGCGGAAATGGGTATCGTCGTGCTGTTTCTGCACTCGGCGAACTTACTCGGCTGCGAGCATCTGTCGTGACAGAAGATTATTCCCTCGATCAATATAGCGTTGCTCAAGAGAGAATTTTTCATCTTTACTTATACGTCATTAGAATTCAATAATTTGATTTGTCAGTCGCGATCCAAGATTAAAACTTCAATTGCGTGCGTAATTTTACATATTTAATTTAATGTATCTAACATTTTTATTTTTCGTGAACTATGCTTTGAAAAACATTTCTCTAATTTAAATGTTCTTATTTGAAAGAACAATCACTTTCTTGTAAATTCCATGCGTTATCGTTAAATTAATATTTTCGAAATTTGCCAATCACAGCCGCGTTTGCATCCGATCTATTCAATTTCTTTCCTGATCTTTTTTTCCTCGAAAGTGAATCTTTAATTTTTTAACAACTGTTCGTTCGCCCAAGATAAAATTTTGGCTACAACCACAATATATAAAAAAAATAAATATGGCAATAAACAAAAGATATATTCTTACGCAATTGGTTCGCCGTAGTCGAACTCCAGAATCTGCATGTTCTGATAGGCATAATGCATCATGCTGATGTATCTGGCCCACGCTAGCCATGGCGGGACCGACGTCGCCAAATAGCCGCCCAGAAGCTGCGTCGAGAGTGTGTAGAGCGCGGACACGGTGATGCCCACCTGCAGATCTTCGCAGCAAGCGCCCACGAAAAATCCGACACTCTGTAAAGCATCATGAAATTGAGGTGCCGGACGCAATAAAGCCGACTTATGTCGAACGGTTGAATAACCGGTCGCCTCTCTCCACCTGGTCGATAGCTTTCAAGAGCGGCCGTTAGGAATATGCCCTCGTATATTTTGGGGCAAATTCCCAATTTCGACTTGAGATAAACCGAGAGCGCTTGAAAGTTTATATGTTTAATATTTTCCAATAACGTAAAAATAGTAATAAAATACGGTGTGATTATCGATTATATACATTGCACACGGTTGCAATTATTGACTACATGCATTACTATTGACAAAAAATATCTAATGGATATTTCATATTGTGTGAAGAATAGATATTGCTTATACTACATTCACAGAGGTTCAAATTAGAATAATTCTTGCGTTTATATTGAATTTCGATATCTGCAAAATGCTATGTTAAACATTTTGACAAATAGTTTGATTAATTGTTTCTAGTTATTAAATTTTTAAGAGCAACTATTAAATATTAACTTTTTAAAAGCAAAATAGCTATATCTTTTCGTCTAATTTAGTTTGACATCTTTTTTTTCACGCGTATCAAAATATATAATAAAGGTAAAATAAAATTATCATTTATTCTCCTTCTTCTCCGCGACATAGTGGGTTTTGAAACTAACACATGTCTTATATTTTGATAAAAAGCTAATGTTAGACTATTTTATAATCCAAAGCAAATATGAAAACTTTGATTTAAAATAATAGAATCTTGATTTTGATAATTATATGTCATATACTCTGTTTGTGTTGTCCAAAATTTTTCTCATTTTAATAAATATTTTTGTACTTTTCCAGAATCTTCAGGAATAAAATCTAATTTTTCATCACTTTTTCATGAGCAATAATTGAAAGAATTATTTAATAGACCGATATTATGATGAGAATATTATATACACTGTACAATTTTATCGAAGAGATGATCGATATGCATTTGTAAATTTGAATCCGATATCCGAGAGTTACTCGAATCGATATCGTTATATTAGTACGTGTCAGTAAAAGTAAAAATTCGACATTCACCAATCCTTGTGCATAATTATCTTGCATATAGATAATTATCAGATTTTCCATTATGCTTCGATACACTTTAGCTATCGCATATTTGCGAATTTCGATTCAGTTCAACGTTTCAATAACGTAACCGAATGGAATATTTTAGTAACGTGAATCAATCAAGAGCAAAATTCTATTATGCCAAATCAAAATTTTTGTTTCACTGAAATGACATAGAACGGCCATTTGTCCGAATATATCTAACCAGCAGAAAATTGCGTACCTGCGCGACTATCGTATTGATCAGCAGAAATATGAGCAGCGTGATGAAGACCGATACATTATGGAAGCCCAACATCGAGTAACTAATTATATGGTAGACCGCGGGCAGCATCACCGTCAGCGGTAGCTCGCCCGCCATCTTCGCCAGGTAGTAGGCCGAGAGCCGATAGGATCCTGACAGGCGTTCCTTGTTGATCACCTCGCGCTCCGGGGGAACTGGAAAAACGTCATTTTCAGAATCATCCCCGCGCCGGATTCTCGTGTAGGGTGCAGAACACGTCGCGCGCGTCGCTTTATAACAGGCCGGGGGTGATGCTGGAATCGGTTTCGCAGCGCTCCCATCAGACGCGTCCCTCTCGCGTTTAACGCTTCGCTTCGGGCTGTTTCGCTGCCCGCGAGATAGGAGACTGTGAAACGACCGGATCTCAATCCCCAGTAGGGATTTTTCGTGAATCTACTTCTGAATTACCCGATAAGATAATCAAAGCATTTTTCCATCTATTCTTTTTTTCCTCTTAACTCTGGGTTTACGAATCTCAGAATCGCGAAATCAGGTTTGTCGAAAATCTAATTAGATTTGGTACAGATTATAATGGGTACGTTCTATCTAATGTCTCAGTTCATCATTTGATTGTACATCTCGGCACTTTCCTCGATTTTATGTTACTTTGTGAAAGAAAAAGGATGTACATCTGTTACTTTATACACATGTATGTCTGCTCGCTAGTTATCGGAGAAACATGAATTTAAGGACCTCCATTACCGATCACGTATTAGGTCATGGCATGCCACACGTGCCAACTCTTGATTGAACATTCTTCGGTCCTTTGATAAAAAGTGAGCCTTATTAAATGGCTGATTGAGCAATTTAAAGCACGGTTACGATAAAGTCCAATTACTCAATCAGTTTCGTCTGCACTTCCAAGCATTTTGAAATAAAGTTGAAATTAATTAAAAGGCTGTGAGGGTACAAATTTCATTAATCAAAAAAGAGCCTTTATGATCGTACGCGCGCTTCGGGCTTAATTCGCAAATAAACGCTTTAATTGTCAATTTAGAAAATCCACATAATTACATTCCCGCGTAACTAAAATTTATTTTGTTGGTTCCCCGCAAATTTGATATACGATAACTTTGTTTCGTCCAAGTGTCTAATTAATGCAGGTATTGTCGAGATAATCAGTCTAGCCTCGGCACAATGGGATATCAGCCCTTTGTGCCGGGATTTCGGTTACAAGAGCGCGAATGAGAATTAAATTCAACTCACAGCTAGTGAGCGCTCCAAAATGTGCAAAAAGCATCCAGTACGTGTTGCTGAAGAACATCCACCCCTGGATATCGTGAATGGCCGCTTCAGTTCTGGGAAGACTCAGCCATAAAAGCCCAGTTAGAAGCCCGAGAGCTATCGTTTGCAGCCAGTGAAGACGCGACCACATCCGCGGTCGTGCCTCTCGAAAATTTCTTGCCACTAATACCTGAAATCAAAGGAGAGCATTTCGTTTGTACAAATGTGGACGCAGGTTCCTGGTAAAACCTCGTTACAAATTAAGTTACTAACAAACGTAAATTAAAGATTTTATTTAATTTTTCTCATTATGTGATCGTGTAAGATAGAAAATTTGCTAGTTTTCAGATAAGCTCTTCATGAAAACATCAAGATGATGTTCGAATGTTGGGCTACTGTTCTAATATAGATATTTTTTCTTGACGTTAAAAATTATATATATATGTATATATATATATATATATATATATATATATAATTTTTCTAGTAAAAAATTAAAAAAGATTGCTATCAATGCTTCTTCTTGAGGATTTGACGCATTTTTTTGGTTACACGGATTACTTCACGATACATCGATTTGATAATGATACACGTCAGATTAATACCTTCGATACGATTCGATTATATCAGCGTCCGTGAGAAAATAGAACGCAAAGTTTCACAATGGTTTCGAAGGTCTTTTTAAACAATAACTATAATACATACAGAGTGTCTCGGGCATCGCGTGAAAGGCTGGTTTTCGGATCGGTATCATTCGTTGTTTTACGATGTCCAGGTCAACGAACAAAGGGAACAAAATTTATGTTCCGTGTCTCCTAGTTCAATAAATATCGCTGATATATAGAATATTGGACCTTGAAACGCTCTGTGTCTTTTTTTTCTCTCTCTCTCTCTCTCTCTCTTTCTCACGCGAAGAACAAGAGGTGGCGGAGAGCCGCTACTGTAGGCCGCGAAGAACGCGTGGTTCTGCCGAGTAAAAGTGATGCAAGTGACGCGCGGCGGCGTTCGTATTCGTACGCAAAGCGCGATTATACGAACGGGCATACCGGTCGCGCGGTAATTATCCGGATATGGCAAATCGTGCAAACGCGTCCCAGTTCTCTCCTCTCTATGCCCCGGCCGGCTTCTTCTTCTCTCCCGCGACGTTTATACACGCGCGCGCGCCTCCCCTTTTTACCCTCCCTCGCGTGTATACGTGCGATTCTCCGTGATGTCGCGATCCACCTACGATCGACGATGACGCGTCCTCCGCGAATAGGTAGAACCGGTACACATTAGTCTAGATGCATTCGTTAATCGGCGCCCGCCGATGAATAACACACACAGGGCATGCCGCATTCTCGCTTCTTTCTCTCTCTCTCTCGCGCACGCGACGGACGGTGCGTCATATCTGACTCGAAGAATTGGTCTGACTACATAGCGGCTACACTTTCATCCGTCGCGAAGGATACGCTTTGGAAATTATCAACAATTGGCGTCGGGACGGTCGCTTGGAACGTCCAAGACCTACTACGCCAGTTTCCAGATATTAAGGTTCGAAATAAAAATAAGCAGTTTCAAGAATCAAACATTGATTTACGTCAAATGTATATAAATTCAAAATGAAAGGATTTCGATAAGTTTAAATTCAAAATATGTATGAATAGAATGTAATATGAATATTAAAAAAGAAAATACATCGTTTTCTAATTTTTTTTCTGTGAAATGGCTTTTTGATTCTGTCTCTTCATATAGTTCATATTAATATATTTTTATATTGATGTCTATTATTTATGTTATATAATGACGATGATAATGTGTTTATTTTTTGCCTTTTATTTTTTAATTTAAACACAGGATCGTGTATCAATCGTAGACAGAGAAATGTGTGCTTAAGCGAATAGAATGGCATTGTATTCGGTAATTACAAACATTCGTAAGGCCTACTCACTCTGAACTGCGACCAGAAACTGGTGGGCCACTGCCAGGAATAGTCGTCATCGGCAGAACTCGCACTGCTGCTGGCGTGGCTTTGTGTGTCCAGCCACAGCGTGCGGCCTTCGTCTTCCTTTACTGTAAAGCATCGGGAAAACGGGTGTTTAGAGTAGCTTTGTGAGAATTGCATCGTCGATAAATACGCAAGTAGGTAGAGATAACACAAAGTTCAAAAGAGAACATAAGAGAAAAAAAAAGATGATAACTATCTCACCATTTCGTTCCGCTCGCTTTTCTATTACGTATATTCATTGCAGTTTATTTTATCGTGACATTCCTAAGTGAATTTGTCAAGATAACAAGTCCATATTATATATGCAATTATTTACATAAATTTTTGTAATTTTATTATAATTTCGTTTTTCAGGAATTTTCTTCGTAGAAATTTCTTTTCTTTATTTAATGGTCTTTGATATAGTTAAAATAGAAAATATTTAAATATGAAAAAGTAGATAAATAAATGCCAGTTATAGTATAAATTGGCTCTTTTTGTGATGAGAAATAAAAAAATTAATTTGTCCTACAGTGAGTTTTGTAAGCTATTATATTTATTTCGATAACTTCGACAATTTTTTAAAATATTTGATATTAAATACAGCTGAAAAAGAATACTTTGCTTATTCCAATTTAGACTAGTCAAAAATTTTTAATGTTATTCGTTAAAAAAAATAGCGATTTCAAAACATTTCATGTTTTATTTGTTCTCATTTATTACTTGCTGTCGAAAATTGAAGCGAGAAAATTTTGGATTATTTCGAGGGGAACCGACCATGGATTATATACGTATTTATACCATCAAGGAACGGAAAGATAAATAACTCTTGGGAATCGGTACGCCCGCCGCGCCGTAGCGTTTCGCGAGTTAAAGGCACTAAACATTCAACGGACAGGTTCAGTCAAGTTGCCTATCTTAGCAGTTCATAAAGCGGCCCTTCCAGCGTTTGCCGTAGGTCGGAGATACGCGAGATACACTCGATCTTTGAGCAAGTGCGCGCTTTAAATGGGCACATCGGAGCCCGTAACGGTTCGCCTGCGGTCCGGGGGAAAGTCTAGGTGTGCATACATTTAAATACGTATATCGCGGGGCGAACTGTAGCATGCTATATAATACCGTTGTGGCTGATGTGGTGCTCGTGATAATGGATGAGATGGTCGCAGAGCGGATGTTGGCTGGGATTATACTCCGGGCGAAGTTCCGGTGGGCAGTCAGGTCCCTGTCTTGCAGCTCTCGCTGCGGCAACGATGCGATCTCGAACCTCCTCTGGCCCCTTTATTTGTTCCACTGAAACAGAAGCGTTTCGTATAACGCCGAGAGCTCTTTTCTCGACCGGCTCAATTCACCATTCGCTTCCCGCAGCACTTTATCGATAGTTATTTCAAGAGAATACACATGTGATCATAGTCATTTCCAGGTGTATATTTATATGTACGCACAGGAAATTATTTGTCTCCGTAATAATGCAAATATTTTAGGAAAATGTTCTTTCACTTTTATATCTTATGCATAATTATTGCATTAAAGAATATTTTACTCGTGTCACTTGACTTAAGTATTAAAATTGACATTAAACATAAAAATGTAGAGTCTATACTCTATATGTACTACTCGATTAAATTTTATTTTAGATGCTTCTCTTCTAATTTTGTGCAAAAGACGCAATACTTTTTGTGATATGAATATAAAATATATATTATATAAAAAAAAAGTTACATCGTAGAAGATATATTGGAGGGACAGATTATAGATAAAAACTGGTCTTAAAAAAAAAAACCGCGAATTTTATGAGTTTGAAATATTCAGAGAAAAATAAAAGATTTTATCTGCTAGGTATATACGTATATCATTCGCAAGTATACATACAATTCAACGAAATCAGTTTATATCAGTAAAGTGCACTCACGAATGAAGTCTGCGGGGTTGTAATGCGGCAGTAGCGTAAGTCCTATCGTGGAGAAGAATCTACCGACATTCGCAGTCGAACCGTAGTACGCCACCTGACCGTTACTCAGTAGGAGAAGCTTGCTAAAACTGTGGAACATCCGGGAACTAGGTTGGTGTACCGTCACCACGATACTCTTACCCTCCTGCTCGGCGTATTTCTTCAACCGCGAGATCAATGCCTGTGCCGAATGCGAGTCGAGTCCGCTCGTGGGTTCCTGAAACATGAAAGATTTTATAAATTAGCGATGCAATGCTAATTAGATTTAGGAAACTTTATCTGGACGAACTCTCGTAGGAAATTACTGAAATTAGTTCATATAATTTATCCTATCGTCCATTTTTTCCAGTTTATAAATTGTGAGATATGTGAATCCGCGATTTCATCTAGATTTCATTCGAAGAACTTTCTATTTTACAGTTCCTTAATATCATAATATATAGAATTCTAGATGTGGATTATCGGAAATAGTTGAAAATTTTATTCGTTATACGTTATTCGTTTTATAGTTAGATTTGTAAGCTTCTCTGCATAAGTGTTTCCATAAGTTATTTAAATCTTATACAATAATAATTTCTTCCGATTGAATTAACATTTAAAGATAATTATATGTACGTATTGCATTACGGATATAGGAGTGTGGATATAGAATACAAGTACAAATTTCTTCTAAAATTAACGATATAATTGCTATTAAACCACAATTATAATAAAACTTAAAATACGTGTATCTAGTTACGAAGAAAAAATGTAGCAAAAACTTACGTCGAGTAGCATTAATGATGGATTCGTGAGTAATTCGCAGGCTATACTCGTCCTCTTCTTTTCACCACCGGAAATACCCCGCTTCGAATAATCTCCAATAACTGCACAAGAAAAACATAATTAGTCTACATACATATATTAAAGAAATAATGCCTTGTGGTGAATTAAATTATAAATATCACTTCGTAAATATACAGAAATTAAAAATGTGCGGGCGTAATATAATTGCGAATGTTAAGTATTGTCGCGTGGAATTAATGCGCATCGTTTTTCAGTTTCTATACGCGATTGCGCTACCAACGTCGTGAATAATACTCGAAAATAGTACTCGGCTGCGGCGGTGAGATACGGGCGATCCGTCATACGAAAGATATTGAAAATGTAGGCGATCGTAATTACCATGTCACGCATTTCACCGAGGCGGAGAAAAAAAGGGGCATATTTAAAAAGGTTCAGAAGATACGGCGCGCGCGCGTGCATATATATATATGATCTCAGACAACAAAGCATCAAAGGCGTTTTATTAGCATGCGAACCTACGTCCGCGGTCGCGAATAATGTGAATTACGAGCAGAGATATCGATAAAAAATCCGTCGGCTGAACAATAAAGATAAATTATAGTTTTCCCATCGGATCGCTCCCTTTCCCTCGTTCGCCGGCGGCGTTGGCGCCCGCGCGACGTTCTCCGGTGCCGATATTCGGATTTGCCAACGCCAGTTGGAGAACTAACGAGACGCGGGGCGCGTGATCTCTAACGCGTGGTAAATTATTAAACTTCGTCATCGTCGTCATCATCATCGTCGTCGTCGTCGTCGTCGTCGTCGTCGTCGTTATTGTCGCTGCCGCTGTCGCCGCTGTGTGCCGTCGGTCGCTCACGCCTTCGGGGCACACAGGAAGAGAAACGAACGTATAATTGTGTGCGCGCGGGGAATAATATTTTACGTCACATGCGCTGAGCGCGGCCGAGGCGACATTCGCGCGTTCAGCGCTCGAGGAGCTCCGGGGGTTAACGATCGAGGAAACCGTTTATCAACCGGCCGACAATGAGCCCGGCGTGCCGCGGCAGGCAGAGATACGCGTCCGTACTTTCCCTCGTTTGTATTCCGGAAAATGTCACCGCGCTTCCGCTACGTTCGACGTTTCGACGTGGCTACATGCGAGGCCGCGCGAATTCGTGTCGCCTGTTCTACCGTCGCGTCGTTCGGATGAGACTCCGAGATCAAGCCGCGACCGATCTTTAACTCCGATAAAAAAAAAATCTCGATGAGCAATTGAGTACAAAAAGAATATCTGTAAACTAACAACGTGGAGCCATCAACGGATAGGATAAGATCTTGTTCTTCGAGATCACGATTAAGCGGATTTCTCTTGCTTCTTACGAATTTAACGCTTAATTGCCAATAGCCGTCTAGCTTCCGAGCGTTAAGCGGCGACGTCCAATCCAATTTACCCGTTAACGAAGGATCTATATTATTTTTGGAAACGACGTCCCGTTTAATTTTCTCGTTAGCGACGAATCTACATCGTTCTGAGAAATCTCACGACGCGAAGCGCGAAAGTCATGCATGTAGGTCAGCCTGCATATTACTTGGCTCGTTTTTCCTACGTGTATATTTCGATAACGCGCCCAATGGCTACTTAACGCGCTCGCGCAACGGTTCGATATTCGCGATCGCGGAAATTGTCAATCAAAATGTTAAACCAAGACGGATAGTCACGGTGACGGTAACGGTAAGAGCCGGTCGCGAGATTAACATTAAACACGGTTCACCTCTGCGCGCTATAGTCAGTGTTATACCGTCGAAAAGAGGGAGGGCTAATGTTATTTATAGTTAGTTGTACGAAAGCCATATATCAAATTTTACAGCACATATAACGACTGTGAAGTGATCAGGACGGTTCAATTTTCATCTTCGATTACATATTTTGGAATATTTACATTCGATTCGGATTCCATTTGAGAGATAGAAAAATGGAGTGTAAAACGGAGAAAAGTGATAACTTGTCATATGAACATGCTTTCCTTTAACACTTTGATCGCCAAATTAATTTCGGCATCGACTATGAAAGGCTCAAAATCGAAAAAGTGTACAACTATTCATAAAGATTCAAATTACAGAACTAGACTATATTACAAAGTAGACCATATAAAAAATAAATATAAATAAAAATATATATAATATAAAATATATATGCTATTTATTCTTTAGATTATTAAATATTATAATATAATTTCGGAGAGAAATAGAATAAAACTGTTGCAAACTAAAATAATTTTTAAAAAGATTTCTTTTTTACCTGCACTATTTATTTTGATTGAAACAATTGAAATATATAAGAAAAATAATTTTATTCTTAATAAATCTAATGTATTACTTTAACATTTTACGATTTTTCTTTTAATCTATATAGGTATTGAGTAAAGTTATTTTTAACCAGGTAAATAAAATCGTCACCTACAAACGAGTAACGGGGCATTTGCAGAAACTCACGCGTCACCCAGATATGGGTAATACATGGCAGTCAAAGTGTTAATGAACGTAAGTTCCCGAAAATCGCGTTAAAGTGAACTTAATCCAGAACGACGCGTCCCGTATCTCGGTCGAGCGTGCTATTAGATTGGTGGTGTAACGACGCACGTTCTAACGTTGCACAGGAATTCTAATGTTGCGAGCCGCCACCGTTGTTTACATCGCGGACGCGCAAACGGACTTTACGACTCCGAGCCGCGGGGGAAATCGAGCGGAGTTACGATCGGTGGAATCCATCGGCTCGTGATTCGCGAATTCGCGCATGTCCGCGATCACGGACGCGTCTAAAAACGTTCGCGGCCCGACGATCGATCCTTCGGCTTTACGGCGCGCGCCGTCGTCGTACTCACTGGTGTCTTGGCAGCCCGCGAGGTCGAGGACCTCGATGATGTGGTCCACGCACTGCATCTTCTGGGAGTGTGAGAGTGTGTCCGGAAGCCTCAGCCTCGCCTGGTACTGCAAAATTGCAATGCGATGCGATGCAGACGCGTGACGCGCGGGCGGCGGCCCGCGCGGACGCGCGTAAAACGGCGATCGGTTTACGCGCGCTGACGGGGCCGCGTAAACGCGCGCATTAAAACAGCAAACGTAAACAAAACCGCGCGCCGCGCCTCAGCGCCGGTGGTGCATCGCGGCTGGTGTGTGGATGCATTTCCGTTTCGTAATATATCCAGGCCACTTTGTACTATTATTACCCCGGTCGGCTCTAACGCGCCGCGCCGGAGGCGCGCCCGTCATAAGCCGATCGTTAAGTCAATTACGATATGACGCGTCGATTGCGAAACCGCGGGCTGTTTTTATCTCATAGGGGTGTCTGAGAATTTGTTAATAGCCACGTAAATAGATGTATCGACGATTTGACACGTTTAAATGTTCGACAAGTGTTGAAGAGATTAAACACAAGATTAAAAAAACAATACGTACAATATTAATCTACAATTTAGTCCAACTAATATGTGAATTAGAATTTTTTTAATCGAATTTTTTTTAAGTTATAACAAACGAATTTTGACTTTCGACTAAAATATTTAACCTGGACAGGATTAATAACGCTTGCCATGACTTAAATTCTTTCATCTCTCGCCAAATTGGAACAATAATAATCTCGCAATAAATTGATAATTCATCTTCTATTTAATCTTATCTTAGTCTTTTCGAAAGGTTGATTTTATTCAAGTCATTCACGGCGATTATTTTCTTTTTTTTTTTTTAACCAAACTCTGTCACCGGCAGAAAAAATTGGCACAACGTTATCGAGTAAATGGTTACACTGTACTGTTATGTATAGATAGATATACATATATACATATATACGTGTATATTCAATATATATTCCATATATGTTGCACTTACAACAATTTGTTATAAAAACGTCTGAAAGTTTAACAATGTAAAAAAATCTCAAAAATAATCTCAACTGACATATTTTTATAACAGAGTGAAACGGATAACACTCTTATTTTTTTTACTTTTATTTGCCTTCACAAGATACGTATTCCTTCAATAAAATCTTAATGTAAATCAGCATGTTAATTACAAAGAATAATATAACGTGGGAACACCCTAAAAACATTTGGGATAAAGTGGTGTCCGGCGAAATTTTCCGCGATGCAAACGCGTCGATTTCGTTCGTCGTACGCGTCCAAGAATGTGTCGTCGCTACGGCTTGATGCGCGATGATGTTATGGATCGCCCTTTATATCACAATCAACAGCGGCTACGCGTACGGATATAGAGACCCGGCCGAGACGACGACGTGCCGTTTCTCAACGTTCATTCTCCTCGTGCCGTTACACAAGAGGGGGCCCCGTTATGCGGAGAGAGAAAGTGCGGCCGATGATATTGTACTCGCCGGGAACACAGTTATGTCTAAATAAAGATAACGACGATACCCGGCTGTGGAACCGGACCGCGGAAAAGTGAACCTCTTCTTCTGTTCCCTTTAACAGTTTACATTCCTGTCTCGGGAACGAAAGGGCCTTTTGACGAGGCCAAGCTTTTAAGAAAGGTTGCGGACGGACAGAGCACGTTCTTCTTATTTTTTGCTCAATTTCGAACAATCTTTTTTTTCTGCAGTTTGTTTTACTAACAATTTAATAAAACTGTATCATGTTGTTATGATTATTTAAAATCATTTTACAATTTTGTCACAAATTCAGAAAAAATACGACGGATTGATAAGACATATATGAATAGCGAAAACCATCGTAATGCTGATAAAAGAATTGCTTCTTAATGAAAATGTTTCTCGCTAAATACATCATGGAACATCTTTATGCAAATCTAAACATTTAACTTTATGATATACTAATTACAAATATAATTTAGAATAGAATGCAAAATACAAGTGATAATGATATTATTTCACGAATTTTCTAAATACATTTAGACACATAAGATGATTTTCGCGCAATATTTTTCTTTCTACTTTCATTCATGTGTCATCAAACAACTCGCTCGAGAAAGAGGAGGTCAACGTCAATCTATACGAAATATTAGGTACTAGTATATTTAGGTTACTAGTCATATGATCGTGTTGCAAAATCGCATTGGGGACGATGATCCCCAAAGCGCACCCTGCAGCCTCCAAACTTTGCGTTCGTTTCGCCGTTTGGATACAAAACATGCCTCTCTCTCTCGCGATAGACAACAGAAGCGAGAAACCACCGTGCGGAAAGGGAGAGGAAGCGGCCTAGGAAAGAAGGCAAGGCGAGGAGGCCTGCCGGGAGAGAGAAAGTGTCATCCCGCTGAAAGGAACTACACCGCGGTCGTGCCTCTCTCTAAACAGCGCGCGCCGTGTGCACGCGCGGTATGCGCGCGTGTAAAGGCGGCGCCAAATGTTTTCGAAACCGTAAGACGCACGCCGCGAGCTCTCGGTGGTTCACTGACCGAGTTATGACGTCACCGCGAGAGATACGACCTCCCCCCTTCCTCCCCCCCCCGTCGACACCGCTCGGGCCGCTGTGTTTCACGCTAACGGTCGCGGCTAGACGAACGCCGATGGTCCGTTGCGAGAGTAGCGTGTGTATCGCTATGCGTGTGACACGCGCGTGCCGCGTAGGTACCGCGCGCGCGAGTGGGCGCCGTGCACGTGACACGTTCCCTATCTCCTCTCTCTCTCTTTTCTTATATTTTTTTTAATTATTCAATTATCTTGCTCGATTTCTAAATGCCAGGAAACATCTCATGCCGCAAACAATTTTTACAATGTTTTAGCAATCATTATTGAAAATATTAACTATTTATTTATAATAATAAAGTTATTGTTATTATTTTTATTCTTATTTGTCGAGAAGATGTCATCCTTTTAATAAATAGCGATATCCTTTTAATAAATAGCGATATACAGATTCAGATTTTATTGAAAGCCTCTTTACCACGGCGAGGTGCAGAACCAGCAATACCTCGATTATTCCAATTGGTCGAATTTAAATTATTTAGACACTCGCCTTCAACACGCGGCTACGAAATCGTTGACAACAAGCAAACAAACCTCATGCTTTTGTATTTAAATTGCACCTACACAATCTCTCATTTTTAAATCTTCTCATACGAGTTCCATATTCCTTCGTTGTTATGCAATTTAATTTTGAACTTACGAAATAATTCTCAGACGAATATCTTATCCGGGAATATGGAATCAATATATCTATTTTTTTTGTCTACACCTCTTATTTTAAGACGTGAATTGTTCTTGCGCTCTAAAACTTTGGTTTGTACAGTATTTTATTTTTATCACAACTTTTTCGATTATCTCGCCAATAAATATTATTGAGGGATAATTGAAGAAGTTCAAATAAAAAAATTATTATAATTGACACTACTCAATTATTGTACTATTAATTTTTCAATTTTCATTGCTGTCAAGGAAATTTTCAGTTGGCACACGCACGCGAGAAATGAGAGCACACTCCTGACGCTGCGAGATATATAAAATAAAGAAAAATATTAGACATAGAAAAGGTAGTGCAGATATTAAATGTCTCCAAGATTAAAAATAGTCTTTCGGTTCACCTTGTTACGAGACTCTCTGTCTCTCGATTCGCAACTCGAACTCTCGCCACGCGCAGGTGCACGCGCGCGTGTGCGTACATGTATACCGGCATGTTTATTCGATTAGAGCGGCTAAAGCGACAAAGCGCGTATCTGTCCGTGTCCGTTTTCCGCCCAGACCTCTTAAATCCCCCAAGTGCAACCAGGGAGGCGGGGGAGGGGGGAGGGGGAGGACGCATTGGCTCCCAGCCCGCATTTGCATTCCCCGCGATCTTTGCGTACAGGGTGTCCTCCTAATTCCCGCTTACTCGGCGCGTAGGCCGGTGATGAATATTGAGTGAAAGGCAGGCGCGCGCACGGCTGCCCTGGCATACGCCCGCGATGCCGGATTTTCGTGGAAAACGAGGAAACGTTTCTGCGTTTTGTCCTCTTGTTTCGAGATACGGGGTACAGAAATGCATCCACACAGCAACTGTCTCGTTGCGCTCGTTTTTACTTTTTTTTTTTTTTTTCATTGCTTGTTTCATTGCGCGAGTGACACGCGTGTAAATCCACGAGACTCACTGACATATATACTCCTCTAAGTTTTGCATACATATATAAATTGTTTTCATCCTCCCATCCTCCGATCAGTTTCTGCATCGGCAATACCGTTGGCGATTTCGTTTCATCATTTATTTATGTGTATACAAAAGTTAGCGGGGCGTACAGTAGCCAATCTCTATACTCTGAATCATCTCGCATATATACACAGCCAGATATTCTATCAAATATGCAACACACGTTGTATATTTGGTATTCGTCATACACTACCGTATGTCATTTGCACAATTCTTTAAAGTAAAAATAGTGCCAAAAGTAAACATAGGTGTCAAGATATTTCACAAGCGCAATAATGCATAGTACAATACCTCGTTTGAATTTACAAGTGGCACACAAAATAGCTCGATCTCGCGAGTTACTTTTACAAAGGGAGATTCCGACTCTTCAATTCATTCTAAATCAATACAATACACCAGAGGCTTATATATTTAACTCTATGTGATTTATAAATTATTACAAGAGACGAAACGTCAATAAAGAGATCGAAATGATTGTGTATCGCGCGTTCAGTATCGGATCACAATTGCTATCGCGTGCAACATTTTCGTTGAACTTACCTCAAGTGTCTGCCGTAAGGTGAGATCGGGGAAAAAAATATCCTGCTGTTGTACGTAGCAGATTCTTCTGCGCCACCGTTTGGTGAGCCTCTCGCGATTCAGCCAGATCTCACCGGCGTCCACGCCAACACGGCCGGACAAGCAGTTCAGCAGTGTTGTTTTACCACAGCCTGCGTAACAAATATGCCAGACAAAAATTTAGCGCCTTCGTACGCTGTCGTGCAAGCTCGTTATACATTTCGGTGGATATATCTTTCGCACATTGCCGTCGCGTTAGGTGTCCTCTTACGCGCGTGAAAATTCTTACGTAAAGCCGTATATGTCGTCGATGAGTATCTGTTAATTCGAGTCGCTTGAGAATCTATATAATTTTGCACTTTTTTTCTATTTTCACTGTCGAGAAAGGGCGATTTCGTTTGTTGCGTTAAGCAACATTGTGAAATTTCTGAAATACCATCTAAATGTTCGGATCTTTTAGCTCTTTAAAGCTTCTCAAGCTGCTTAAAAATGTTAAATTCTCAGCCTCCCCATTGACATTCCTCGTATCTGTAAAATCTTAATAAATTCTCAGGCACGATCTTCACATACTCGCTTCGATCCAGGTCGATAAAATTATAACCGGATTTATAAAAATATCTCTAGATGTTTTAAAGTGAGATAAATTACGAAATTGTTAAAAAAACAAGCAGTATATTCGTTGCATTATTTTAAGACATTTAAAATGAAGAAGTGTAGTTGCTGCGTATTATAAATGCGTTCGCACTCGGAGAGCTCCGTTAAAACGCCACTGAAAATCGCGTGAACTCGTTTTCAATCCGCGTCATAAATTCAATTTTTTTCCATTTCGTTCTGCATTGGGGAAACGATGGCGAGAATTTAACGTTCGAAATAATTAGGATCGGTGAACTTCTACTAGATTTCTGCATGTGGCGCACGATGCGTGCGGCGCACGGACTTTCAGCGATAAATATTCCAGCCGAGCGAAATTGCCGGGCTGGTGTATATTTCGCCGCCGCGCGCATAAAAGCGGTTAAAGATAGAAACGCAGGCTTAATTCCGCGCATGATGTCCACGTACGCAGCACACCGTGCGATTAAGATTCGCAAGAAATAATGCGATACGCGAAAGAGTATTCGAGGAGCCGTGCAATTACGGCGGATCATCGGGGGGGGGGGGGAGTCGGGACGGGACGAGGCGAAAAAGTAGGATCATTACAGAAATGTAATGGTACAGAGTAAACACGAAGCTGCACGTTTTTTGCCATTGGCAAGAAGTTTTAACCGATACGACGTGTACGCAACTTCACGTGATCATTTTCGGAAATGTTTTAAACTCATTCATCAGAATTTAGCGAACGTTCCCGCTGTTGTTAATTAATTTTCACATATTAGGCATCGTACTGCAAATATAAAAATTTATTGAGTTCACCGAACAATCGAATAATTTTAAAATACAGTTTTGAATTAGATATCTCGAATTAAATTGTTCGTCTGAAAGAATTCTCTGAGATACGTATTGCATTGTTATCGAATCACGGTACGTTGCGAAAGCTGACGTGAAAGATTGATATAACAGAGAGCTTCATACCTGAAGGGCCCATAACGGCCAACAATTCGCCTGGCTTGACGACTCCCGAAACATCTCGAAGGAGCACTCGTTTCTCCTTGACCACCTGCAACGCTCGGAAGATTAGCTGCACCGGACGAGAATCCAGCGGGCACACCAACTGCAGCGCTGAGCTTTCCACTCTGCAAACATTGAAATATCGCACTTTCAGAAAAGACGTGACTCTTGATCTTTCCGGCCTACATTTTCCAACATAAAAATTCTTACGCGCGCGTAAAAAAGTATATCTAATATCTAAAAAAAAAGATTAAAAAAAATAAAATATTGAAAATAAAATATTTTTATGTAAAACTATGATTCGGATAGCAGTTAAAGTCTTTGAAGTTTAATGCGACCGTTATAAAATTTTAAGTTACACTCGGATTCATCGATTTCATTCGGAGTCCTTTCGCGTGGCCGCGATAAACCATTATAGCGTATAGATTCCGCGAGCGAAACTGCGGAATTATCGCCGGCGCTGAACGTGCTAATTGCGTTCTCCAGATCTAAGATTGCCGTATCAACGCGCGACAACGTTGGTATAAAGAAGAGGGGCGTTGATTGTACGTCGAGACGCTTTTATCGGGGATACGACGCTAGGCGAGATTAACCCTGAGAATTTAATGTTTTGCGAGACGTTCACGAGTGCCCCCATAAAAATTCACTTTAGCGCCGAATCATCGCATCGGACGGGCGAATTTCGGTGGCCCGTCGCGTCGTGGGATCTGAGCGCGCGGGGTCGTTAAAGCGAGATGACGTAGGTTCTAGGCAGGCGTCCGCGCGCGCCTCGGTGCGAACGCGCCGCGCGAGGAGAGCGAGCTTCATAATAACAATGACGTCTCATGGGAGTTATTTCGCGACGGCAATTAAGCCTGGCGTGTGCGTTACGCTGAGAAATGGCGTTTCGCAATGCCGGAGAGACTTGCGTGCGATGGATGCTGGAAAATCTTTCTCTTTTCACCTGCCGACTGACCTCTTTCGTATCCCAAGAAACATTTCTCAATTTATTTGAAAATTTCCTCGCATTCTTCGCGATCCGACAATTCATTTAACTATAATACTTGTTTACGTTTGGTAACAGTAATATCCGTGACATTCCGATAATTCCGATTCAATATTGATGCAACACCTTGTTTATCGCTTTTTTCGAAACCTCGTATATTTCTCTTATACATGGTTATATTATATATAGTTTCTTATACAATTATAAGAAATATCTGATAATACTTATTAGGACTGGCAGTTGAGATTGGAACACGATTGTAAATAGAGAATATATAAAAAATAGAGATGTTCCGCAAATAAGAAAATATCACTCACAATCAGGGCATGTATTACGTATTATGGATCTTTTTGCAAATATTTCTAATTCAATTCAAATACCTACTGTTTTTCGCCAAGATAGTTATTTTATAATAGGATGCGTGTTCCATGATAAAACAACTCTGTCCTATTATATGAACATTTGGCTTCGGATTGAAACAACAAGGAAAATTTGCGCGGCACCTTAGAAGCAAGTGAAAAGTCTATATTCTTTTTGTATGTGACATATGTAATATGTGTGTATACGCATACAAAAAAACTCAACGAACACACATATGTATGTTTTTTTTTTCATATTTGCCGAAATGTGCAAAAAATCCATTTTGTTTCGATTCATAATCCAAAAATAAATAGCATTATAATCAGAAGCGCGAAATTGCAAATTATTACATAGATGCCCTAATGATAATTTATATCCTCTACATTTTCATTAGCTATATTGAGAGAGATGATGATGATGGCATCGTTATTTATTTAGTGCAAATAGCCTAGAAAAAATTTTCTCTCAAGCGCAAGAGAGAGAGAGAGAGAGAGAGAGAGAGAGAGAGAGAGAGAGAGAGAGAGAGAGAGAGAGAGAGAGTATTTCTTCGCCTAATAACTTTAGCCAACGGATTGGGTGAACATAAACTAGCCTTTGCGCTGTTAACACATTGTTACATTCGGCAGAAATTGGTTGATAAAAAATGAAGGATCAATTAGAAAAATTTAATATTATAGTGAAATATTACATTGGTTAGCGTATTAAACAGCAATGCTTATTTTAATATTCAATTAATTAATTATTAATCAATTTTTTACCTACAGTACTGATCTTTAAAGGATAGGCGGG